TCTCGTCCATTGTGCTCATCGTACTCACGGTCCTCGACGACTTCGACCATGCCCTTACTCTCGACATCGACTTTCACGTCCTCCACATTTCTCTCCTCGCCAAGGCCCTCTTCGATCACGATTACCTCGGTTAGGTTGACTTCTTCAACGTCCGCGGTTCTGTCATCGTCGGACATCGGTGGACCCAAGTAATTGATCGAGAAATCCTCGCCCACGGTCCCCTCATCGAACGCATGTGGTTCATCGTACTCGATCGGCTCGTCCACACACTCGGCAACCTCATCTTCAACACAGCCCGATAGATACCACTTAAACAAAGGCTTTTCTTCGACAAACTCCTTCGTGATCTTGAGTTGTTGTTCGTACTTCTCCTTTTGCTCGTATATCTCCTCCAAATAATCTTGTTCCCAAGGGGTTAATTCCCTCTCCAAACTTTCGAGATATTCGAGATCTTCTTGATCCCACTCAACTACTGGCTCAAACATCATGATTCTCTTTTTTTTTTTTTGACTCTAAAAAAAATCGAAAATAATAGGGGAAAAATTCGAAAAATTCGAACCCCCAACAAGACTCAAAAAAATCGAAACAAAAAGAAATTCGGCCCCTCAACAAAAGGTAATAGGCGAACAAAAAATCAAACAAAGGACTAACAAGATGACACTTTTTTTTTTAATGAAAAATTCGAAATAATTCGAAAATTTCGACACAAAAAAAAAAGAAGAGAAATTCGGTCCCTCAGCAAAAGGCAAATCGAAAAAATAAAAAGATAAGATAGATAATCACACGATCAGCCCCTCTCAATGAAAGCACCAATGATGACGGATCGTGTTCTTACCTATACGTTGGTTGCGAATAAACGGCGCACTGCGGCCTTCGTTTATCCCCGATAGGTGTATCTAACAGACGCACTGCGGCCTTCTCCTAGATACCGTGACTTCAAGACGCACTAATGGCCTTCTTTCCGACACTGTATGTAAACACGCACTAATGGCCTTGTTTATCACACGTTAAGAACTACAAGTTCCCCATATGAGATTCACTCATCAATTCCAAGACTCAACATGTTTATTAATGAAGAGGTACATGGGGTATTTATATGTGCAGAATTAAATCTAAGCCTAACTATACTAG